TCTTGTGCGCAATACTCGTCGCCAAACGCACTCAACAGCCTCAACAATGGATCAACACGTGCCATCCGCAAGGTCGAAACAAGGCACCGTCGTGGAGCAAAAGCAGCGGTTTCTACAAACGAGGAAACATATTCTATCGCGTGGAATACCGCCGTCGGAACGTCTACGCACACTTGCGCAAGATGGTGGGATCGAGCTCAGTGTCATGAAGGGAGTGTTGGATAAAGGTATGGATCTACTGCACTCATGATGACCTTCAGATCGTTCTAACCATGTGGCTTAGTCAACCGCAACCTTAAACAACACTCCCGAAAAGTCTACAGCCGCCAAATGATTGAGCATGTTGTTGAGCAAATAGACATACTATACTGGGAATCTGGCGCACATCATGCCGACGACGACGAAGAAGTAAATCCTCCGTCCGATGCCCACGAAGACGACACGCACGCACTATATCAGAGCGATGACCTAACACTCGACGAAAACATTGCGAAACTACCCACAACATGGCCCGACCGTGACGCCGAGATCACACAAGACCAATATCTCTCCTCCGTCTCGCGCCTTCAAGAACTTTCCGCACGCCGGCAGACGCTTCAGAACCGGCTCGACACATACCGCACCTTGCTTTCGCTACTAGAACCCTATCGCAATCCCAAGGAGAACATACAGCCAAATTTGGTGTGGAAGGATGCGCCGCTCGCGCCTGAGCTGGCAAAGACACGGACATTGGCAATACGCGTTGCTGCACGTGTGGAAGAGAAGTTTGGCAACGTCCAAGCACCTTCCACGGCTGAAGACGACGAGAGTGTTGATATGGAAGGATTAGAGAGTGAAGGGAGGCGGAGGGTCGATAAGGTGCTGGAGAGCTGGTATTATTGAATACCGCGGCTTGATTCCTCTTCTCGATTTTGCTTTGGCGTTTGGATATGATACCCCACGTTTTTGACATTGCACAGTAGTATTCATAACATTTACAACAAGTACGGCTTCATCTAGCATATGTATTGCGGCGCCATTTCCACGAAAAAGACAACTCCATCCTCTCCCAACTATCTCTAACACCACTAGGCTTGCGGGCTGCCCATCCTCCCTACCGCGCTTTCAACCTCCCTCTCGAACTTCTTTCCTCCGACCTCAACTCCAAGCTTGACTCTGACTTTGTATGCCCTTGTGATGGCAAAACTACGGAAACTTGGTACTGTCACACCTGGGATCCTCGCCGTGAACCACTGCTCACAAGTACTCTTCACTTGTTCCTCCATTGCCCCACTGTCCTTTTCTCCTGATGAGCTAGCGATAACGGAGTACTCTGGCAATCCAGCAGTAAGTTCCAATATGGCTGACTCAGGTAAAGCGTTAAGAGACGTCTTTCTCTCCGTGAAGTCCTCGTGTTCATTCTTGGCCACGATATATAGCTGGTCTGGCGGCGGCCAGCTTTCGTATCTATTACTCCTGTGCAAGCCGGATCTGCCGCTACCTGCGTCTCTGTCGCGAGGTGCACGGAAGAAGGTAAAATCCAGCAAGTCCAATTTAAGAATGTTGAATGTGACGGATGGAGGAATGTGCAGCGCGTTCGGGCTTCGCGATAGTGTTGTGAAGGATGCACGAAAGTGAAATTCGGACCCGCTGGTAAAGTGCTCTGGAAGCTCTATAGCGACTTCGAAGTCCAGTGTAGGGGTCGAAGAGGAAAGGCGGTCGCGGATGCTTTGTCGGATACCAGTTTGCGTGTTGCCGGCTAGTAGAGAAGATCGCAGTGTGAGGGTCTTTGGGTAGCGGTTCAGCGTGGTGTATGGTCCGGGTGGTGGTATCGGGCTTGTGGGTTGGAAGAGGATGATCGATGTAGTTGTCAGGTCTATGAGAGACTTGCCTTGGACAACACCAATGCCAGGACATATCAGTGTGGCCCGTACGCCATATTCGATCTTCGCAAAGTCTGCATCTGTGCCGTCGTCGGTTGGCCTGTTGAATCTGGTGAATAGAAAGCTGGGAGGTAAGTCATGGGGTCCGATGTCGTATTTCTGGTCGGAATCATTTTCGTATTGGCCATAGCGCGTGGTACCAGTCCCAGCAGGAAACGTGAATTGAAAGGGAAATGTGTAGACTTGGCCTGCTTCGAACTTCGATATCGCTTGTGGTTCCTTCTTATCCTCGTTGGTCATGGTAGTTGCTGCGTGTAAAATGTCTTGAGCTACCTCAAATAGTGGTGCGTTGTCCCTCCAATGATGGTAATCAGTGGTATTGCCGGAGCCTACATCCCGACGATACCATATGAGTGATTGCCCAAAGAGTGAGACCTTAAGCGCCTCGGGCTCGATAGATGCGACGGGCGTCAGTACGACATGGCCTCTGACAATATCGTCTGGCCTATAAACTCTATCGGCCGTGTCATCGAGTTGTATCGCCAAGTCAGGAAGTGGTGGTTGACGAAGCTTGTTGGAGCTAAAGAGGCCCATCTTGATGCCAGACCACTCAAGCTGTCTCAAGCGGAGGGCTATGGGGTATTCTAGGTGGAGTTATTGGGAGGGTAGAAGGATGTGGATGCTTCCAGATGATATTCTAGTTGTATACTCTTCGTGTTGCGTCGTTTTCTCAAAAAGGCAATCGTTACTGATTGTAGTCTTGTTGGAAGTATTGATTCAGATTTGCAATGTGATTTCTCGAAAAGTCGAGCAAAGTGCTTGTGCCATGGAATGGACGATGGCCATTTTTGGTCGCTCCCTGATATCAGGGCCACCTGCACAGCCACGTCTGACTTTCAGGCCGACCAACCTCGTGGCACAGGGATCAACATGTTTGCAGTCACAGCCCACGATTGTCTGCCGTGAGATACGCGCCTATTTAGTTGCAGGTGAAGGTGCAACGCGTCATTGGGTTGTCGCAGTCGGGATGGCTCCGTGGTGGCGGTCACTTGGGTGAGGGGAAGGGGACTTCGGAGTTTTCGGCAGGGGCCCCACTCTGGTAGCTCATCAACTGGTAAGCCAGTCAAACCACTCCTGTATAGATGATGAGGCTACGAACATTGCCCAAGTACAAGTACAAGAACACGAAGTGCAGCAGTATACGCTCTCATTCCGGGTACTCTTAAAGCTCTCCTCACAGATTGTAGCTAAGAGCTTCCGAGTTTTCCCCTTTGCTCTACAGTCTTTGCTATCTCAGCTCCAACATCCGACCCCAGGGCCTTAAAACCATCTATGACACCCTGCTGATCACCCACACCCATCTCTTGACTCATTTTGTACTTGCCACCAATATCCGTTATCTCGATCTGGATGCCGATAATCGCTTTCTTCAGTATGTCGATGTACGAAGTAGGCGCATCTTCCACCTGCCACGGCTTCTCGTAGCCCATGATGTCTCTTTCTGACTGGCGGGACAGGTCCCTAATCTGTTTGTCGAGGAATTGACCCGTAGAGGCGGCTTTGGTATCGTAAAACACGGAAGCACGACCGTAAACTTGTACCGCTGAGTAATTCCACGTAGGAACCACTTTCCCGCTTGCTGGCTTTGTCTCTTTGTAGAACTTGGGTGTGACATAGTGGTGTGCAGGACCGTTAAAGAGGATCATAACATCGCGTGATATAGTCTGAATTGTGTCGATCCTCTCGTCCTCATTTTGAGATTGGACGTGTTCGATCAGAGCTTTAGCTTGCGGATTCGCTCGAGCGACATGTCCACGGAGAACGCCAAGATGGACCTGGTCTGCTGTGTTTTCGATATCCAAAACGAAAGGAATGTGACTCGATTGAAGAAAAGGAAACGACTTGGAGTCAATAGCTGTGGTAAAGATGCCTAGCGGGTTGGCGCGTATGAATTGCTGTAGTCTAGCAATGTCTTTCTCTGCATGAACGGCACGAAGATACATGGTGGATTGGCTAGTGGTTGCTGGTTCCAAGGCAGAATTTGTCTACTGAATATTCAAGGCCGACATACGAGCATCAATATATCAAGCGCTCTACACGTTGTTTTGACTGTTATGCTGTAGGGCGTAAGATGTCAACGGTGGCGTCTACAGCGTATAATTACAGTACCCAATCAGATATTACGAAATAATAAGGAGCATAAATGCAGGAAGAGGTCGATGACTCGAGCGTGACTATCCGTTATGGGCCGATTGTGCTCCACATCATTTTCTGAGGAGCATTGGCTAATTTGCTAGCGGAAAGCTATGTTGTACGAAGTACGTTTGGAATGAAGGGTCCAGCTCGACGAGTTCGGATTTGGAAGTGCGGCTCGCTCTGCGTCTAGTGCCTGGAACTTTCGCATGACCAATCGCACAGCCAGGCCGGCGCAACCAGTGAGGCTATACTACAGCGAGCATGTGTGGGTCGGGATTACTTCCTATGTTGAGGAGCAGGGACGAGAGTAAATTACTGCGCATTCCTCACCTTTGGATTCCTGTGGCGTGGTGCATATTCTGTTCGATATCAGCTAAAATCGTAGATAAGGTACGCTCTCTAGGTAACATATTACGGGTACCTATGTTGCCTACTTTTGCAGTATTTGTATCATTCTTGAGAGGTAAGTATGAATAAGACCTGGTGGTAAGAGGTCAAAGGCGATAACGACTGCGTGAGAAGCGTGGAACGAGCGTTGTGAGTTGTGGAATGACGCAATGCATAGCTGGCTCCCTCAGACCCTAGGACCTTTGGCCCCGAACAGAACATGTGTGAATTTTGAAACCGGCAACTTCTACACTCTGTTTACATAGCGAAGTCTAATATCGTGTTGTATCGCCTCGATGAGGGATTTGCACGAACCTCAGTGGTACAAATATGTTCGAAAAGAGGGGTTCGCGCATCTCCGTGGGGGTGGGTTCCGTTGCAGAAGGTACAAGCGATCAACCCCACATGAGGTAGACCATCGTCACCATCCTTTGGTCCGACGTCACCACCACGAACACGTCCCTGCACTTCAACCTGCGTCTATAGATTGAATCGAACACATTCGAGACTAAACTTTGGTTATTGGTTGCTCAACTAGCTCAGACAAAAGCAAAAATGACTTCTAGTTGGGAGGAGCTTGCTGCAGACAAACGAACTCGTATCGCCAGCACGATACCTTCGGAATGGTTGATTCGAGACCTTCCAAGCGATGACAATGTCTTCGCATTTCCGAAAGCATCAGGGCTTCTTTCTGCGCGAGAAATCGAGCTGACCGAGTCTTCGGCCACTGAACTCGTTGCACAAATGGCTGAAGGAAAGCTCAAGTCCGTGGATGTCACACTCGCCTTCTGTAAAAGAGCTGCCCTAGCACAGCAGTTGGTAAGACCAACTATACTACTGTGGCAGACCCAGCGATTAACAAGTGGCTGCAGACGAATTGTGTACACGAGTTCTTCCCCGAGGAGGCTCTCGCACAGGCTCGAGATCTAGACAAGTATTACGCGGAGCACAACACGACTGTTGGACCTTTACATGGTCTTCCAATCTCTTTGAAAGACCAACTGCGAGTGAAGGTATGATATTCTTCCCTATGTTCGGTGCAATCAACTCTCAAGTATACCGCGAGCGACAAACCTGACATGGTTGCATTAGGGAAAAGAAACATGCATGGGCTACGTTTCCTGGCTGGGAAAGTATGATGAAAAAGACTCCGTTCTTACAGAACTTCTTCGCAAGGCAGGTGCTGTCTTTTATGTCAAGACAAGTGTCCCTCAAACCTTGATGGTCTGTGAGACTGTCAACAACATCATCGGAAGGACCACAAATCCGCGCAACAAGAACTGGTCGTGCGGAGGAAGCTCGGGAGGAGAAGGAGCTATGATCGGCCTCCGTGGAGGCATCATCGGTGTTGGAACTGATATTGGCGGCTCTATCAGAATCCCATCCGCCTTCAACTTCCTATACGGCATCCGTCCTAGTCATGGTCGAATGCCCTACGCAAACATGGCGAACAGCATGGAAGGTCAAGAAACCATCCACAGTGTCGTCGGACCTATTGCTCACTCTGCGTCTGGTAAGTGAACAAGACGCACGTCCCTGCTGATCGAGAAGCTGACTGTCAAGACTTGAGATTATTCTTCACATCGGTGCTCCGCGAAGAGCCCTGGAATTACGACTCCAAAGTCATCCCATTGCCTTGGAGGTACAACCTAGAAGATGCTCTGAAGGCAAAGCTGAATTCATCCGGCCTGACCATCGGTTACTACACATGCGACGGCAACGTGAGTCTCAGACCGAAATGCAATACAATTGCTTTCGCTAAAAGCACAGGTTCTCCCACATCCTCCTGTCCTACGTGGAATCGAACGCGTAATGGACGTCTTGGAAAGAAGTCAGCACAAGGTTCTACCCTGGACTCCATACAAACATGATTTTGCTGTCGATCTTGCTAACAAGATCTATGGAGCAGATGGCTCCACGGTAATAACTCCTCTCTTTAGCTCTTGCGCAGCTACGCCTAGGTGTTTTACACCAGCTGACAATCAGACAGGACGTAATGAAGGACATCAACGCTTCGGGAGAGCCAGGAATTCCAAACATCAAAGAACTCCTCAACCCAGATATGCGAAAGGCTGACTTGAACGATGTGTGGGATATCCATTTACAGAAGTGGGATTACCAGATGCAGTATCTGTCCAGATGGCGAGAGGTCGAGGCCGAGCATGGTTGCGAACTTGACTGCATCGTTGCTCCTATCAGTCCAACCGCTGCTATCCGACACAACCAGTTCAAGTACTATGGCTACGCGTCTGCCATCAACTTACTCGACTTTACGAGCGTCGTTGTCCCGGTCACTTTTGCAGATAGCAAAATCGATGCCAAGCGTGCAGACTATGAGCCTCTGAACGACATGGATGCAGCTGTCCAGGCCGAATACGACCCCGAAGCATACCACGGTGCTCCAGTTGCTATTCAAGTCATCGGAAAGAGGCTCAGCGAGGAGAAGACATTGGCGATTGCTGAGGAAATAGGCAGGTTACTCGGCAATTCCGTAACACCTTAAGCTGTAGCAAGATACAAGCTATCGTGAGTATGTAAAACAATACAAAAAGAATTGTAACGATGTATGCTCCATGTTTGTTCAGGAAGATCGATTGTCGGTTGTATAGGTGGCGTGAAGCGGACCCGGAAATTCCGCCGCTAAGCATGCGCAGGGATCCACTCTGCCTAATTGGAGCTCGTCACAGCCTTGACCTGTCTCATCTCTTATCTCACCAGCAATGTTTCTCCTCTTAGCTGTCCTGCTGATCGTCACACCTGCATTAACTTACTATGTCTCCACAACGTTGTTCTACCAAAATGCGAAACATACCGCATCAGGGAGCAGGCCGCCAACAATTCCGTATCTGTTCCCAGGGGTTTTCCATGCTTTCAGTATAGCGTATGACGGACCGCAGAAGTATTTCGCGAGGTTACTGTACGATCATCCATGTATACACTAGATTGTGAGTGCTAACATTTGTCAGCAAGGACTATGGCAGCTTCGCACCGTTTGCCGTCAGGGCGGGCTTGCAGCCCTTCATCGTTCTTCGAGATCCGGAGCAGATGAAGCAGGCTATCCAGGCATATGAGAAGCGAAATCCAGTCATCACCGGGAAGAATATGTACGAGATCATTCTGGGTTCTCCTCAAGCTGTAGCAAATCTATACACCAATGCGGCCGTCGATCAAGGAGCCATCGAGCGTGCGCGCATAGCATCAACGCAAAAGTACCTAGAAGGAGAGTCCTTGAGAACCTTGACCGACCTCTACGCTGCAACTCTTTCGCGCAATCTGAATAACAAGATGTTTCAAGTCGGCAGCTGGACACAGATAGAAGACAGCTGGTCGTTTTTCCAGCAAGTCCTCACAAGGTGTTCTATGGAGACCCTCTTCGGTTCAGCAATCTTCAAGCAATATTCTGGACTCATCAAGGACTACTGGAAATTTGAAGATGCCATTGAGGGCTTCGTGCCGGGGATGCCATGGTTCACAAATTCAACGGCATATAGGGAGCCACGCGATCGACTATACAAAGGCGTCGAGAAGTGGTTGAAAGCTAACCATAGCGGCACGGAATTTGCAAAGATCGGTAGTGACGACATGGATTGGAATGAACATAAGGGATCCAAATTCATTCAAGAACGCGATGACTTACTTGCGAAAGCCCCGTTACCTCTTGAAGCTAGGACAGCGGAGATGTTGGACATCATGCACTGGTAAGCATCATCTGGGGATGCATTATCTACCAAGCATCAAGAAGTTCTGACATGCTCTACAGCTCGAATGTTGATCTGGTTCCTTCCGCTGTGTGGTCAATAATAGAAGTTTTACGCAAACCGTATCTGGCGGAACGCATCACTACTATCGTCTCTGAGCGACAATCGTCGAAGGCGACCACATATGACGTCAATGGGGTTGCAGCCTTGCCCCTCGTTCAATCGTTACAGGCGGAAATAAGCCGCCTCCGTGTCGCACAATACATGACATGTGCCAACGAGTTCGCCGAAGTTTCCATCGGTAGCCAATGGAAACTACCCAAGGCATGCAACACAATTTCCTTCTCGCATGATATCGCACTGGATACCAAGGCCTGGGCAAATGCACGGCCACGTACTGTTGAGAAACCATTAGATGAGTTTTGGCCTGAACGCTTCTTGATCCCCGATGATAATGGACCCAAAGCGCGAGGCCAACGGAAGAGCGGAACCCGTGTCGAGAATGGAAGGTTCGATGCGCAGAACCTCGAGCTGCTGGCCCCTATCTTTTACGACCGACAAAGCTTTGGAATTGCTAGCGACTATACCAGAGCCATACAAGCAGCCACTCTGGCTGTCGTCATGAGTGAATTCGAGGTACAGTTATGTGACCCAGAGGCGACCGATGCTGCGATGCCTGTGCTGCGAGAGTCCGCTTTTGGGCAGCTCCGACCACAGGAACGAATAGCTGTGCGCATACGCAAACGCAAACTTGGGAAAGGACAATGAAGGTACCCCGCTTCTCAACAAGAGGTCGTGTGAGTTAGCCACCAAGACTATTCGTGTAGGCAATGCAAACAATCAAATAGCCCCGCTTCGTGTTCACCACCCCGTTTGTTCACAGTCTCTTCGAATCCCTCTAGCCATCTCTCAAAACTCAAAAGTAACTGCAACAATGACTACTGTCACTCCCCAGAGCATGAAGGAGGTAGATAAGCTCACCGTAGTCGGGGGCTTCATTGTGCTCGTCATTACATACTGGCTTATCAAGACTATCTATAACCTCTTCTTCCACCCTTTGGCCAGCTTCCCTGGTCCACGCTGGGCAGCTGGATCATACCTTCCTCAATTCTACTACGACATCATACATGGTGGGCAATATTACAAGAAGGTTATCCAGATGCACGAGGAATATGGTGAGCATTTCCCAATACGCGCACTCCACTGTAGAAGTATGTGTTCATAATAGGCAGGCCCACTTATACGAGTCAATCCTGATGAGCTCTCCCTCAACGACCCCTTCTTTTATGACAAGGTCTATTCAGGTGGTGGACAGAAGCGCAACAAATGCCCTGATCTCACAACCATCGTACGCACATCGGTGATCTCTACTAACGACCATGAACTACATCGGCAACGCCGCGGCTATATTGCCAATCTGTTTTCGAAGAGATCCATCTCAGACCTGGAATCAATCATTCAGTCTAAAGTTGATAAGTTGGTGACCCTTTTAAAGGAAGCCAACCATACTGAAGAAACCCTTATTGGGCCTCTCGTGTTTGGCAGTCTAGCGATCGACGTTATCTCACACTATGCATATGGCGAGAGTTTTGGTAATCTCGACAAACCTGGATTCCCGTGCGAGCTCGAACGAGATGTTAAAGCCATATTGATGATTCAACACGTGCGACGGTTTCTTCCTGGCATTGACCGACTCATTACACATCTTCCAGCCTGGCTAGTCGCCCGCATCAGCCCTTCCATGGTTAGCTTTCTGGACTTCGAAACAAGAATTGCAGGATACTCAAAAGCGGCACTTAAGAAAAGCATGGAAGGAGAAGAACCAACCAAACCCCGGACGGTGTTCGACGCACTAGTCAGCTCCAAGATACCCGCACAAGAGAGGACACTTCAACGACTGACAGATGAGAGCTCAACCATCCTGATCGCCGGGGTGGATACCACTGCCAGAACCTTGACAGCTACCATGTGCTACTTGATTCTGTATCCCGAAATCCTGGCCAAACTGCGTGCAGAGCTACAACCGTACAAGAACGCGACCTGGACCCAGCTTGAATCTCTACCGTATCTGGTAAGTCATTTGCTACATTTTGCTATATGTGCCTCCTAATGCATACTAGACAGCGGTCATCAATGAGTCACTTCGATACGAATCTCCCTTCACAAGTCGCTTTCCACGCTTACTTGTCGAGCCGCTTGCTTACAAGGACATGCTCATACCTTCCGGCGTAAGTTACAGAACCTGCTTGAGAGCTTGAGAGGTCTGAAATGATTCTAGACTACCATCGGTGCAATGCCATATTTACTCAATAGCCACCCCGACGTTTTCCCTGATCCCCATGTGTATAGGCCTGAGCGATGGATTGAAGCAAAAGCCCGTGGAGAATATCTCGACAAGTATTTGGTCACCTTCACGAAGGGCAGTAGAGCCTGTCTTGGCATAAAGTAGGCTATCTATGCTTCTTGTACGATGCAAGAATACTAACATGACCTAGTCTTGCATACGCCGAACTTTACCTTACCGTCGCAGCTATGGTCCAAAACTTTGACCTGGAGCTTGTGGACTCTTCCATCGAGAACATCACTCCATACCGAGACTTTGGTCTAGGTTTCGACAAGAATTATAACTACGGTGTCAACTTCAGGGTTACAAAGGTACTCCAAGAGTGAACGATGGGTTTTCTCGGATCAAAGTGACCAGTACGCGTATGGTTCTGGAGCATGCACCCGATTTTGCCAACGCAGCAGGTCCTGAATATTATGCTGTGTCAGGACCAATAGGTTCAAGGTATCTGATGATGACAAGAATGAAGATGAACGAACAAGCTAGTGGTTATTGTAGTTACTCAACAATTACGGAACGTAGTATATCATTTAGGCAGACATCTAGACTCAGACCGAGTCCATTTCCTCGCTGTCAGCCAACCCTATCCCTGCCACAATCAAATGCACAAGCATTTCCATACCGCGCATCCGGTTCACTAACCTCGCAGTTTCATGCTCAAGGGCATCCAGTAACTGGGTCACGGCATTTCTGTACTTTTATTAGCTTCTATCAGGCTAGATACCACCAGACTCACTCTAGTATATTTGCACCGAACGCACTTGTTCGCCTCCATTCTCCGATTGTCGCGTTGGTCGTGCGTATCGCGTCTGATACTAGACAGCGTCGATGATTTGTGATATATGGGAGGGAAAGATGGTGGGTTGGGGATGGGTTGGTCGAGGGGAGGTGTTGCTGCGAGGGTATCGGTGACAAGGAGCGTGAAGATGGCAAAAAGGAGAGTCGTTAAGGCAACACGTAGGGAGTAGTGAATCATGGTTGGAATGGAAATACGAAGCGGCTTAGGTCAAGGATGAAGATTGAGGGAGGTAAGAGTTTTAGATAAGAACATGTACGAGACAAAGAAAACAACACATTGACTTGTATCAAATATCCCTATCATCGCTATGACGGTACTACCTCTTCTCCAAGAGGTGTAGCGTCCTGAACTAACAAACCATCCCATCCAAGCATCATAGGAACCGCGATTACCAGATACCTCGCTCATTCCGTTAGGGGTTGAACCGATGTACGTGTATCACCTCCTCGTACTACGACAAACCCCAAAACCAACCCATCACATTCTCCAATCACCACCTAGACCACCCGTCCTACCAGCATGCAGCGTCATTGCTCACTTGACCCCGGTGTTTCGTTGACGTCTGTGATGTGGTAACCGCTCGTGGCCCATCATTTATGGCGAGTTTCAAGGGCAGTTCAGCCCACAAGCCGACTTGCACAGGATGTTTTCCCTAGCAGCCTTGCACATGCAATGGTTATAGCACATTGTCCCCGTACCGCCGTTGGGGCAGAGAATAATAAACAAAATTTGCTATGATTCAGATTAGTCACAGTATTGCGACAACGGTTATCTGCCTTGGTTGTGCGCCTTTCCATTTGTCGTGGGAGAAGGAATCAGACCGAGGAAGGCTTCAACACCGAAAGGGGAAAAAGGGGAAGAGAGAAGGATTAAAGAAAGATAGACTTACCTTTGTGCAAGTAGATATCTTTGCTTTACACTCATTACAGATTTTGGTGGGGTCGTCGGTGATGATGCTTTGTCTAGGCTCGAGAGAGATGACGGGTGTGGCACTGGCAAGAGCTACCAGGGTTGTAATGAGGAGAACTGCGACCTTCATGGTGATGATGGCTTGGTTTCGTTAATAGAGTTCAAAGGTGAGAACGATTTCTTCAGGCTGATGGTCAGCTGCGAGACACAGTAGAGATAGGGATGAGATTTCGAGTCTTTATCAACTTATAGAGAAGAGTGGAGTTGCGTTCTTGTTACCTAGATTGATTAGCAGCAACTTCTTTCATTCTCAATATGCGACCATGTGGTGTGGTCTTTCCTTTGTCGCTCCTTGCATGTTAGACGTACGGCGAAGACAGAGCCGACATGACGAGGAGTTCCTCCACGTGATGTAAACCTTGCGCCCTGTGGTTAGCCAATCCATCACACCAACAAGTGGTCATGGTAAGATGGCCGGACTTGGCAACAGCTCCTTTGTATTGTGTTATATGGCCGACCGGATGGGCCCGTCGATCCTGGTGGATGTAGTCTGCCTGCCTCAATCCTCTGGTCCTTCAAGACTGTTCCTTTGTGTGCACCAGCATGCACCTAAGCACCACGTCCACCTCTCTCGTCCTGCATGCCAATAGCTGGGTCCGGCGCTTCAGGGAACTCCTTCTTCGCCTTCTCCTTTCCGCCAGCCGAGTCCTTTCCTTCAGTCGCATGACCACCGCTGCCCTCTTTTTGCGCGCTGCTGGATGGTATTAGCCGCACGTTACGATAATGCCACTCTCGTTCCCTTGCTCCTCTTGCACAATGCAGTATGCACACCGCTGGGGATGACTTACTCTAATCCGGCCTTTGCATTGCTCTCCTGGACGTTGTGTGTGTCTCCTTGCTTGACCTTCTCTTGTACCGCGTGAGGGCTGTCGCTATCGTACTTGTCCGTCTTGGTCTTTGAGTTGGTGCTCGCGTTGTTCGGGTATTGCTCGACCCTTCTTGAGGCGGAGAGGGAGAAAGGACGTGCGGACGGGACGCTGAAGCGAAGGGTTCTTGTGTATCGGATCATGGTGTTGCGGAACATGGTCATTGAATTCGTAGCTTGTAGCTGTATATTACGTAGATGAGGGTATATCGAGTATGTGTCGATTGGGTTGATTGAATGTTTGATGTCAAGGGGGATGGATGCAAGGAAGCAAAAGTTTGGCGGAGACCGAGGTATGCAAGAGCGAATGACGCATGACGCGTTTGTACATTTCAGCTAACAGATGCAAATGATGATGTATGACGCTCTCGACATGTACCTGGCATGGGCCGCGGGTCATAGCTCCACTGGTCGCGCTTTGCCGCATCGAGATGGCATCTACCCCTCCCCCACACTTTTGCCATTTGAGCCTCATCGCGAAGATCGGGCTACCTTCAGCACCAGACGATTTACCCAAGGAACCAACATGGCGGACCAAAAAGACTGGAAACATGACGACTTTCCCTGCACTCTGTACAGACCCACCCACATCGACTTCTTACCATACATACTAATGCACGCCCAGCACCCTCAACATACCCTTCCCCTCCGCGCACCTCGCCCAAACCGCCCAACGCGCCATCTCTGTTGATGCCGAACTCTCACCCCTCGTCCGCCGCGCCTTCTCCCTCAGCACGTCGCCCGAATCCCCTCAAGAAAGCGTCCTCAAGGTAGAATACGCAGCAACCACGAATCGCATGCTACGCGTCGCCGTCAACGGCTTCATCGAGAGCATAGGCGTCGTGATAGGCGTCATGAAGGAACTAGACACGGATATTGTGTATGAACCTACCAAAGAAGGACTGGAAGGTGTGCAGGGACTAGACGCGGCCAAAGTAGGATGAGGGGGACGAGGAGAGCAATTGCGTCAACCATCACATCTACACAAGACGGACATATGCGCGCCGACGAAGCCGGCAGAGGAAGCCAAGCATACAAGAAGATAGTGGGAGGATAAAAGAGTCGAGCTCGTCGCGTGCGAGAGAGGAAGCGATCGGTATAACTCAGCGGTCAAGCCGTGGGGATGGACGAAAGTCAATCATCCACGAAGGAATTGCCCTTGTACCAGACAGGACATGCTGATAGTATACACTTGGAACGTTCTGCAGTATCTACAATATGAAGAACAGCAAATAAGAATGGGGTGCGTGCCCAAGTTTTGTGCTTTCAGTTCTCAACGCTCTCCGTGCCATGCTACACGCCAAATACGGTTATCCAAACGCCTGGATGCTATGCTATATGCCCTCAAGTGCAGATTCTATTGCTAATTCTTCACTTACAACTCCTCGTCACCACCCTCCTACACCTCATGGTCCTCAAATTTCCTCTTGGGCGCAGAATTTCCTTCTAGAACCGCCATCTTCGCCTCTGGAACCATGGACGGCGCAACCGGGGCATGCTCTGGCGGTTTCTCCGTCGGCATAGGCGGATACACACCATCGTCTCTGATCTGCCAGCCATCTATCTTCAAAAGCTTCCACCTCTCCTTGATCTTGCACCGAACCAGCTCGCCTGTAGTCCGCGCGTCTTCGTAGCTGTCGTGGCCAGCGGCGCCTCCTTGCTGGATTTGCTCACCGAGGTAATCTGATGCTAGCTTGCGCAAGCCAAAACGGAAGGGTAGACCGCTGGGATTTGGGTAGAGAAGTACGGTGTCGATTATGGTTGGGTGGACGAGACGAATGGTGTTGAGGTCGTTTTCGAGAGCATGACCGAGAACTGGGGTGGTGGGAGAGACGTATGAGAGAAACAGGTCTCGTGCGACGTGAGGTGAGTCGACGATGCGAAGGTCTTTGCGGACGGGCTTGGGGTTTGCTGCATCGTACGGCTTCGCGTTCAGGAACTGGTCTGCGGTGATACCCGAGAACCGCGTATTGAAGTCTAATACATGTCCGAGGGGGCGCACCAGCACATCAATAAGAGGCTTGTGCTGCGGCCATGTTATGACTGTAAGACGAAGCATCTCGAGGCCGTTGGTCGTGTAGCCCATTTCGCAATCGAAACACACAGCGGTATCTTTTGGGACTTTGTCATTTTCTGGCGTTTCGATGAACGGCATGATGAGCGACAAACGATTTGGGTCTTTGACGTTGTACACATGTGTGCTGTGCGTGGTGCAGCCTTCTGATCCTACCTCTCCATTGCAGCAGCTGAATTTTGTAGGTTCTGGTGCAACGCCTCTTGATTTCCTAGGGAAGATTCGTCTGCCCCAGTGATGTTTGCAGTGCCCTCCAGTAGTAAGTGCTCCATCTTCCTCCCTTCGTTCTGAGAAGACTTGGAAACGAGTGTTGCAGCGCTCGCATTGTTCCCAGCCACCCGCTGCTTCCAACGCTAACTTTGTCTCATTGAGATCGGCGTCGGCAGGCAGCTTGATCACATAGCCATGCTTATCCAGTCCTTCCTGCGGGCAGATGAGCCTGGGGAGAAAAGTGACTTCTTCCTTTGGAGTAAGGCCCGTATCGACCTTCTTGGGAGGTGCCTTTTTTGGTGGTTCTCCGCTTTCCTTGGCTATAGCTTCGCGTCGTTCCTTGACCCATTCTTCCGCTGGCATGGTCTTTAGCTTGACCAGTCGCTGTTTGAGTATATTTTCATACACTGAGCCACTTGATGAAGCTATCCTTTCCTCTTCATCAACCGCCAGTTTATTAAGCTGATTTGGTGATAGGTGTAGTGCTTTGATTTCAGGCTTGACTGCTTTGAGAAGCTTGTCGTTCTGGGGCTTCATGTAGGTATGCAGCGCCTTGAGTAGAGTAACCCGCTTGGTGAAGGTCGCTGGTTCTTTGTTGAGTTTTCGCGGCATCAAGGTAACAGGAGCATCAGGTTTAGCAGCGATCTTGGGTGCTGCAGCAACCGGTGCTGGTGACACTGGTCGTGTAGCAGATGCCGGAAGAGGAGTGGGTGTCTTAGGCGGTGCGGTGTTAGCAGCTTTGGGCGCATTGTTTGGTGTCGGTGCCTTGGTCTTGGGTGTGTCTGAGTTAACAGGAACGTTGAGCTTTGCCTGCGTTGGTGCTGGAGCGGCCTGTAAGTTGGATGCCTTTGAACTGTCATCGAGCTTCAGCCTCTTCGCGATGGGCTCTGGATCATATTTTGCTGCGACGGGTGACGGAGACCGTCGCGCTGGAGGTGGTTCCGATGTCTCGTGACTGAAGATGCAATGAGGCAACTCGCATTTTGCACCAGAGGGACATGTTATGTTGGCAAAGCTCCTGTAAGCTGGTATCGAAGGCCACATGTTTGTTTTGATTACGGTGTATCCTTTCCTGTAAGTAGATACAATGCCAAGCTTAACGCGCTCGTAACCTACCAGGCTATAACAGCTGAGTAGCTATGCGCTGACAGTCGCAACTATATGGAGCCCGATCTTGTAATCGACGAGAGCTGCACGCTTGACTGCACGATATTGCACTGGAATGAGCGAGTGACGTTTGATCAATCAATATCGCAATGCGCAAGAGAAGATTGACGTGAATGCAAAGGCGGCTGATGAGAGGCCGTCGCGTTGAGGTCCGTATTGATGCCTCATCAACTTCATCAAGTGCAGTATGACAACAATACGCTGCAATCAAGGTTACCAGCAAGCTCCAGTATGAGCTTCAGCTATCCCAAAGGAGCTAGAGTGAGCCAGAAGGTGAAGGTGATTGATGAGGTGAGATGCGCGTCTCAGCCCTGTAGATTCTCTAGCGCTAAATAAAGGGTCCCTAGTCCACGGTCCACGGTCCACGGACGCGGGCGAACGCGACGGCGGCGATCTGATCGTTAATTCCGTCATGACGCGGTGATGCAACTGTTGCGCATTCCGAAAACACCGACTTTCACCTGTTCAGCGCCCACAATTGATGTGCAACTGTCTTCTAACCACATTTGCACATCTATACGCCAATCCGAGACGGTCGTGCTACTTTGTCGTGACATAAGTGGTGTCCTGGCCGCAGGTGACTTGCTTTTGAGGCTGCGCGCGTCTCGGTCAGACTTGCGCCTCCCACGGACGACTTCTGGCCGCCGGGGCGACATACATACACTGCGCCTTCCACCCTAATTCCCAGGCCAGCAAACTTCACGTCTTTCGCCATGTCCACCTCTGCCGATACCAAGAAAGCCGACCACCTTTGTGTCCTCGTCCATGGGTACGTCTCTGTACGAGGCCTTATCGCCTCCTATCATGTCAAGAAGAAGCACTTCCGCTGACCGCAACCAGTCTGTGGGGGAACCCTGAGCACCTGAAATATGTCAGTACCACACTGGGCGAGAGATTTCCAGAAAACAAACTTCACATCCTCGTGGCCAAGCGCAACGCTGGCAGCTTCACCTACGATGGTGTCGATACTGGCGGCGAGCGTGTAGCAGAAGAGGTCGAGGGCAAGATAGAAGAACTAGCCAAAGCCGGACACGACATAACTAAGATCAGCGTCGCCGGCTACTCGCTAGGAGGCTTGATCGCACGCTATGCCATCGGTCTGCTCTATCACAGAGGCGTCTTCGAGAAGATACAGCCAGTCGTACGTGCCTCTATCATGACCCCACCACACAGTGTACTGACTCTCTAGAACTTCACGACCTTCGCGACACCACATCTCGGCGTGCGAACGCCCCTCAAAGGCTACCACAGCCACATATGGAACGTCTTGGGAGCGCGAACGCTTTCCATGAGCGGCAGACAACTGTTTGGCGTCGACAAGTTTAGAGACACAGGCCGATCGCTCCTATCTGTACTCGCAGACCCCGAGAGCATCTTCATCCGAGGCCTTGCGCAGTTCAAGCACCGAAGTCTATACGCAAACGTCGTGAATGACCGAACAGTCACATACTATACCGCCGGCATCTCACAAACCGACCCCTTCGTCGACCCAGACGACATCAAGATAAACTACATCCCAGACTATGAGGAAGTTATCGTCGATGGCGATCACCCAGTCTCGCCAAAGGAGCCTGAAGAACCCCCAGCTTTCTCACAACGACTGGCGCAAGGCACAAGGACAATACTGGGACGGGCGACGATCGTCGCAGTTCTGACGGTCTTCATACCATTTGGTGTGTCGGCCTTCCTCATCAACTCGGCTGTTCAGACGATTCGCAGCGGTCAACGCATAAGACTACACGAAGAAGGCAGATCTGGCATCGACTACGCACGCTACCGCATACCCAACATGATCACTGCCATGCGACGAGAAGCCGAGGGCATGTATGAGAACGCGAACCATGCCCAGAGCCAAGATTATCTGAGCGAGGGCTTCGAACATGTGGCCTCTCCCACCCAGCCCATCTCACCGCGCTCGCGCAAGGATAAGCCCAAATCGGACGCCGATTCGATACAGGAGCAAAAGGATGCTGCGAAGGTCATTTTCCCGACATTGGCCCTTACCGATGACCAATTCAAGATGATCGAAGCGCTGGACAACGTGGGCTTCATGAAGCACCCGGTCTACATACATAACCACCGACACTCCCACGCGGCCATTATCGTGCGTATGAACAAGCCTTCATTCAACGAGGGCAGGGTGGTCATCAAGCACTGGCTTGACAACTTCGAACTCTGATTCATCTTTTGACATTTTTTCTGTCTACATTTTCAGCGTGGCGCATGGCGTATCTCTGGCATAACATATCCCGGGATATAGAATCTGCTTTCCCATAGGGCGAGTTATACCTTTGTCATCTTATTTGTACAGATGTTCCTCATCTATCAATGCTTAATACATTACTACATTACAAGTGCTACTGCGTTATACAGTGCATCTCTATTTTACTCACCACAGGAAAAGTTTCAATCCAGTTCACCCCTCTCTCCCGCGAATCGAAATGCGCATCCTTTCACGAAGCGCCCTCCGCTATGCCCATCTAGCTTGATCTCCACCCTCACTACTTCATACCTCGCCGTTTCATACATGCATAGGGCGTGTTCCTGCTCCTGCGAGACAACCTCATACGCCCATCCATCAACCCGCGATTCAGGGTCGTCGTCGATCAGAGCATTGTACTTGCCACCCCAAGTCTTGAGCTTTCCTCCATAAATTAAAGCTGGAACTAGTGCGCGATCTTCTTCGGGCGGCAACCCAAACAACTCGTTCAGAAACGAACTATTCCCCAGCGTGCCATAGAAGAAGTACCACACGGGGAATTGGTCCTGTGTTGGGAGATACTCACACGCCCTGCTGTCAGGACGGTGATGTGGCAGTGTAGTGTCGTATCCAAGAGTTGGGTACGCCGAACCGAGAGACAAAGCCTTGCGTGCCTTGTTAATAGGCGCAAAGATTGGGGAAATGTCTGGGTATTCTTTGGCCAGCCAGTCCTTGATCTTTGAAATGTCGAGGTCGCTGACATGGCAGAATTGCGCGATACCGTCTTCGCCTTCTCCCTGGATGATTCGGGGGTGGGAGGGAAGGATGGCGGCCGAGGCGAGGATTGTGCGAGTGATAGGGTCGCTGAGCTTGAAGAGGTAGTCCATGTTGCCAAACTTACGATCAGCTGCTCCTTTGACTGGAGTCTTACGCTGCTTGGTTGACTGGAGCAGGTCTTTCATTTCGGTTGATAGTTTCAGTGCAGATATTTGATGAAGTGGTACGGTGTCATTATTTAGTTCCCTGAATGCGTTCATGGCGTCATGGTCTAGATTGTCGAGGTATTCCATATTATTGCTGTTAACTATTCACCTGTTGTTCAAGTGGAGTAGGCGTACGTCAAAATAGAGAAGAAAGGGAGGAAATGGAGAACTTGATGAAACATAATGAAAATGTCAGTCGGTGACTGTTGTGTCTCAGCATTTAGCATCGTTGCGATGACAGTGCTTCGGTAGCGAACCACAGCTGATGAGCCAACCACACTTGCGGCATATCGATAAGTCCCATATAAGAAATACCCAAATATTACAGAGTCAGAGACAGCGTATCGTGTCTCTTCCGTGCTATGTGTTCTTCTACAGCTTACTTATAGACCCCAAATTGATACAAGCAATCCCTCATCTTCCAGAGCTCCCAAAGGATCGGCATGAAACCATTTACTGATTTTCAAGCCAGGGATGGGAGCATAGTCCCGACGCTGAGGCCTGGTGACAGGATGGTGGCAGGCGTCGTATAGGAGATGGAAGATAAAGATCACTCCAAAAGCTTACAGGCCTACGAGACTTCTGCTTATAAGAGGATTTGGTGTGAGGCAAATCAGGAGGACAAGACGGGTGTTTGAAAACTGTCGGGCGTTTTTTTCTTTAGTGCTGGAGAGTATGATAGTAAAGAGCTTGAGGATGGTAGTTTCGATTTAGCATGGTATCGAAGGAAAGTTATTTAAGCCTTCTGTTGTTAGACGGTGGTCTCCAAAACCTGAAACATGGCTTGAATGCCACACCAGAAGGAACAGCGACAACTCGCTCGTGCGTATTACCCGCATGCATTACAAGCCGAAGTACAAATATCATTCGGCCTAGGTACGGCAAGCAATGGGTGGTCTCCACATAGTTCCACCTACTTATCCTATCCGCCCGTACTTCTCCAGCAAATGAAGCATTTGACCCATACACACCTTTCACGTGTATCAAATCCACGATTCTCACCCTATTGTATTGGACAGGGTCGGCGCTTGCTTCCGATAAACCGATCGATACCCCCATCTAGGTGATGCGCTCTACATGGTGGAGCGGAGAAAGTAGTTTTCCTGCGTTATGTTGAGCTCAACTAGTGTCTCAGGTCTGTATATGGTCAGTGATATGTTCAGACGCCCAGGAATGCTATCTCTTACCACGGGAGTTATAGTGAGCTGCAGACGCCAATTCTTCTAGCATGATCGTTGTATGCAACGACCAAGTGTGCGAACGTTGATACTGAAGTAAAAGGTTTTGTCTCGATATCGGTACACTCGGAGCTGGTGTGTGAATAGGGAGAAGAGAACTCATTCCCGCATCAGATTTAGTATATGGATTAGTAGAATCTTGGGGAGCATATATATACCGTAGTTTTCTCGATGTCGATATCGCATGTACAGCTTGTAAAGCAGCCAGATAGTAGGGGGACACGTGATCAACAGTGCAATGACTGCAACAATGCTTTGAGTGTCCAGTACCATTATTGGTGCCTGTATCTTGTTTTCGAAAATTTGAAATGACTGCTAGCTCCAACATTCGTTGTTATGAAGATTGTAGGTAGATTCCGGTGGCCGCTCTGCAACTGCTGCTTAATCTTGCACCCAGCAGAGAAGGAGAACTACTATATACCAGGTATCATGTGTCCCTTGAACGGAGATTATGGCAGCAACCAACCAGTTCACGCCCGCATCTTGGTTTGATAATCCCTAAGAGGGTCGAAAGGACTCGGCCGGCCGGTCTGCACATACATGTCAGCAACTCCGACACCTGGCCGTTGTCGCTTACATTAGCGTAGTTTCTCAAGGTAGGCGCACCAGATCTAGAGATTCTAAGGAGATTCTGGCTTCGACCAATCATCCTGGGCAGGCGCAGCAACCCTGGTCTATGCGATGACGAATTCTTAGCCTCAGCCTTGGTGGAGAGCTACCGACGACCAGTGAATGGCTTCTTGCTTTTCGGGATTGAGCGTTCCAATTCGCACTACCTTTGGTGGAACTGAAAAAAGAACTTGCTAGCATCGCTTCCAACACTCTCCCACCGCTGGCCAGCACACCGGAAGCGCTGTTCGTCTGCATGAGTGGCGAGTGCTGTCGAAGATTTTGGCATACACCAATCACCGGAAGGTCAAGGACGTGGAGGCGCGGTTGCTGCATCCGGTGGGTCGATGATTTCGAAAGCGACCAATAGCGTGACACACGCCTTTACTCAGGTGAACGAGCCTCTATCCCCTCTCTTCTGACCTTGAACACTTGTCTAGCCATACCTCTTCACCCTTCTTTAAAACACTATACTGCCATCTTCAACCATTTCGTGCATGCCGGTGACTTTGCTCAGGTCATGCGAATTTCGCTGCACTGCGATACTCGGCTGTGCCTAGTGCCGAGGAGCCGTCTTACTATATTACTTTCCGAGTTGTGATAACGGTAGCACGTAGAAGAATATATCCGAAGATGCCCAAGAGATCGGAAGAAGACGAGTCCGAATGGACGATACGTAAGGATGACATACTGAACCTATACATAGAGCAGGATAGGCCACTGTCCGAAGTTATCCGTGTTATGGCCAATCAAGGCTTTGTAAAAACGTAAGGGGATTACGACACTGAAACACATTAGGCTAACTGGTAAGAAGAAAACCACAATACGAAAGATCCCTGAAAAGATGGCGTGTGTCCAAGAATGTGCGCAAAGAGGAGTGGGACTTTATTCTCAGCCGCTTGAACGAACGCCATCGCCCGACTATTGTCAAAGTCCGCGGTATAACGATTCCACAGTCAAGACTAGATCGTCAAAAGCTTAGGCATCGAGAGAGCACTCTTGTTCGTTATAAATCAAGTAGGTAGGAAGCTCATTGGAATTTGACGGCTCACTGAGAGTATGCCATAGAATTGAATCCTTCGCCCCGCTGTCAGACACCACCAAACATAGAGATCTCCACACCATCGCCAATCAAAGAAGACGACGAATTGCAACTGATTCCATTACCAGAGCATGGATACTATGGAGAGATCGAAAAATATGACGAAGAACCTTCCGCTGTGGATGATATTGGAGACCAAAACGACCAGCTACCTGAAGAAGTTTCCATCTTTTGGCCGATCTACGGTGGACCGAGCCTAGACACTTTGCCCAAAATGCATGGAGATAATGCTGCGGATGGGACGACGAAATCGAGGGAGAATCCATCGTCACTATCCTGTCCTCCTACGGTTGATAGGTCCCCTGTATATTCAGTACCACTTTATGTGTACATGCACGAATTCATCTCCAACAATTCCGACCGTATCTTCCAAGACATCGACCGGCTAAAGAGTCAACATCAAGTTCATGAGCATCAGCAAACCACTGATTATGTCCTCAGTCAACCTATCGATATCCATGTCGAGGCTATCGTCCGATACAAGATTCCAAGCCGTCGTTTTCATCAAATTATGAGAGGCACTCGAGATGATCTGGATTTGGATCTTCTCCGACGGATACTGATTGCTACCGATCCGGACGAGGACTGGAAGAGCTTTGGCGAAACCCTTCTATTCAATGCTGTGAAGGACAGAAACCTATCTCTACTTGACGTACTCCTCAATGCAGGAGTAAACGAAATGGCTTTGCAGGAAGCAGAGACCGTCAACTATCAATTCGACGAGTATCCATTCAATGTACTGCAAGTTGCAGTTCAATACGAGTATGACGATGCAATCAGGACTTTGACCAGTCATGGTGCGATAATCTTCACCGGCTGTCCGTACACTGATTGCGCTTTTCTCGCTAATGCGATTGAACATGCCATGCATCTGGTACGGCCATTACTCGCTGAATGCATAAGATTGTTAGATCACCAGATATCTCAGAAAGGAAGCGCCGCTCTTAGCCGGGCTGTAATTTTATCTAATGACAAGGTCGTTGACGTCCTCCTTCAGACTGGATTCAGTCCGTATACTGGGCGATACAATGGCCCTTTTTCGAATAAGATATTACCATACGGAAGCCCTTTCGAGCTCGCCATGTTTGCTTGGAAGTCCACCTACCTCAAGAGGTTTTTGAAATTCCCATGGTATGATACGAGCAAGAAGCAATATCTGGAGCGACAACGTCAACTTACTGCTGCATACATCTCTGCATGGTCCTCTAGAGATCTCGAACTCGAAAAAGCGATCCTAGAAGCTGGCCTGAAACCGAATGAGATGAGACAGATCATGGGAGATGATCATATGCAACAATGGCTGTATTTTGGTCTCGCAAAAGCGATTGAGTATGGCGACTGTAAGACGGCAGAGGACCCCGCCAAGCCTGCATGGTCTTAAGCACTCCATAAAACGACTGGATGATTTTATGATCAACAGTGCGGCTTTTCCAGTTGGCAGTAACGAGAGAGAATGTGTCTATGGTACGCAAATTGATAGCTGCTGGAGCGAACGTCAATTTTCGTAGGGAATCCGACGTAGGCTACAAACTACTTCAAGATGCAGTTATCATAGGCAACATCGAGATCGTCACTGTCTAGATTAAAGCTGGAGCAGAAGTCAACGCACCTCCAGGTATATTGGGCAAGACCGCAATTGAGATAGCCGCCGAAGTAGGCAGTCTTGAGATGGTCACTTTTCTCCTCAAGACAGGAGCCGATTTCGAGGGACAACACAACAGGAACTACAGAAGGGCAATTTACAGAGCACGAAACAATGGACACATGTCTGTGGTCGGGTTACTGCATGAGTGGAAGAGATCGAAATATGGCAGGCATGACTGCGACACGTTAGACAACTTGAGGAACTCAATTACACCCGACGAATTGGACTTCCAAAGCGAAGCAGCCAGGGCCGCTCACTTGAAAGACCAAGCCGAGGTTCACCCTGCAGTCGAACTTTCTGGGGATAAAGGCTCTGTGGCAAGCAATGGCTGAGAGTAGCACACCTTCTCTTGGACTAACCCACACAACGGAACGTAAACATATCCGGAGGCTGTAAAGGCAGAGTTGGTTGTCCAAGGACCAATGATTACATAAAATTCTATTCCTCCAAACACGTAGTTCCAGTCATACGCACGCACACGCGCGTGAACACACCCTCCTCTCATTTCCCCTCTTTCCCCTCCCCCTTAACCCGCGAACGTGGCATCGGGCCGACACCAAGCACCAAAAAGCTTGTTTCATGTCCTCACCAGGTTCAGGGTTGCTTGTCAGAGGACAAAAATGAAAAGATCGTCATGGGAATCCTCGGTGCCGGGATTGTGCTTGCATTTGCGGTTTTTGAAACCGAAATGGACGGATCGCCAGGAACGCGAGAGTTTATGTAAGTTGTATGAACAAATGTTTTTTTCTTCTCCTTCTATTTGTAGATCTGGGGTACAGGGTCTTTGAGAATGGGGTGAGTTTGCTGTAGCTGGTGCGTCATTGTTTTCGTAATGCATGTTTAGTGTTGATGAATACCGTTCGCCTTGAAGTTCGCCGTGACGTCGGTGATTGCGCGGTGTTGAGATACGGCCCCACCTGTTGTGTGGGATTGAAAGTGGAGAAGTATGGTATTACGATCGTTCAGTCATGTTGCCGTGTACCGAGAAGAGAACAAGATTTGTTTTCGCGTGCGAGCTGGAGCAATCGGTAAGTGCATCACGTAAAAGATTCATCAGCCCAGGAGCAAAGGATGTAGGATGGTAAAAAACAACGTAGATTGGTTTCATAGTATCGCTCAAAGTTATGCTGATAATCGTGAGGGAAAGAAAAAAGGTGGTCTCCAAACCATGCCGCTCGCATACATACGCCATGATTGCTGAAATTCGCCGTTATGGTATATTGCCCCCAAAAGTTGTCAAAGCTAAAACGCTGGAAAAAAGGCCATATGCGCCCTTGATCGGACTATCATATCGCTGGTGAAATCCTACTTCGTACTCCTACAAAACGCCCGTAAACCCAAGCCGGGTATTTCGCCAATAAGTTGCTCGTCGTGAAATCTAATATGTACATGGAAGGTGGTCATGTTGTGGTGGTGGTGCGTCGAGGTGTTCTCATATCGAATCTATTGCCGGGTATTTGCGCTCTTCTTTCTTGTCTTCTTTGAGACATATGCCTTGTCTGCCAACCTTTTCTTGGAGGTAGTGGAGTCGGTCGGTATCCTTTTCGTCGAATGCAAAGGCGCCGCTCCAGAATCCGCAGTCGATGTTTGTGGTCTCGTTTCGAAAGACGACCTGAGCTTGTGCCGCCAGGTCTACCGGGGGGATACCGTGTTCGGACTCGCCGCTTTTCTCGCCCACCAGGTCAATCTCACTGTGACCTGGCATGTGGTGGAATAGTTCAGAGTTGAGCGTCCAGCAGCGGAGTCCGGGGCTCGGGTATTTGCTTCGGGTCAGGGGATTCCTTGCATTCTGCCACTCGGGTGTGGGAGATGGCGTGTTCTCTCCCTTGTTACATGCGTGGAGAAGCGCAACATCGAATGCGCGAGGTCCAGTTTTCTTCAGCTTGGGTGGAGCGAGATCGTTGAGGAGGCGTTCGGCGGTGCGACGGGTGACGGCGTATCCGAAAGAGCAGAGCGGGAACTTGGAACGGTGGATGACGCGTGACCCTTCAGGCATGCCCAGTAGGCGGAACAAAGCCTGTGTGAAGGGATGTAGGTTGTACCATGCGGGGAGGGTAGGGTCCTGGTATAGGATGTGTGGCATAGCAGTCAGATTAAAGGATTGGCGGTCGGTCTTGGGTCCGTCCTCAGTGACGACGTCGAAGTAATCACCGCAGTGGCCGAGATAGAGTAGGTCCCAGGCATCTTGGTCGCCCCAGTACTGGGTATGGTTGCTAGCTGCGTTGGCGTAGGGGTGCTGGGAGCGCGGCGGGGGAAGGAGCTGGCGGGCAGCGCTTGCCGCGAGCGGAATCTGTTGGCTGCGCAGACGAATGTCCCAGTCGACGTCGTCTTCGAGAATGAGAGCCGTCTCGAGGTCAGAATCGAGAAACCTTAATAAGCGAGTCAGCAGCAGCTCTACAGCGGCGGATGCACGCCAAGACGGGTGCCGGGCAACGAGGGATGACTTACCACTTGAGGGCGTTGTGGTGCCCTAACCACGCTAGTATAGACCCCTTCTGGACCTTCTCTTGCCCGTTGATGAAGCGTTGGACATCGCCCTCGGTCCACTCTGGCTGTGGCGGGATGGTGAGGTCGATGTCGGTGACATTGGCCGCCTGGATGAGCGGCTGGCGGCGCGAGGAGCCTTCCTTGGAGACGACGACGACGGCGCCGAAGCCTAATGTTCTGTTTGAGGGTATCTTTGCAGGCCGCGACTCAATCGAGGACATCCATTGCAGGTATATGTGGTCAGTGTCTCTGCTGTGGTACCATATGCCAATGAGGACGAGGACGAAGAGCAGCAGCAGCGGCGTGGGCCGCTTCCTGGATGCAAGCATGCCGGGCTATATCGTGTTGCCAAAAGTTGTTGTTAGAAGAGTGTTGTTAGACATGTCCGCGAAGACTCGGGGTGGGGGGGGGACGCTATGGCAATAACAAAGTACGACGATGGCGCGCTCGGTGGGCGTTAAGTTGGTTAGAACAATGGCTGGCAGGACCGAAGCAGATCAGGCTGGGCGACGGCTATCTCTAAATGTCGCAGGTCGCGGCGGGAGCAATACGGGTGCCTACCGGGGTGTGGCACCGACATTGCGTTTTGTAACCACTGTATCAGGCTACCTTAGATTATCGCGCATGCAACCGGGATTGTCATCATCTTACCACTGGCCAAGTGGATAACGCTGCTCCAGCTGGCGCGGCGGTTGCAGGCTGATTGTGCGACTGGCCAGCTGAAACTGGCCAAAAGCGCCCCAAGAGAGACGTCTGACCTTCCTCGTCGCCATCAGCTTACCGTGTACGTTGTTTTTGCGCCTTGTACTTGCACTTGCACCTAGCGTTGTTGTGTCTTGCATACGTATCCGAAATTATGGTTCCCCAGCAACGGCCGCCGTCACGTGCACGGCGTGGTTGTCGAGGTCGATCATAGGTAAGCCGCGCCACATGCATCTCAGGGACGCGCTACCCATCATGCGCCTCAATCGTCGCCATTCGACACGCTTACGACGACGACGACACCTCCGGACACGACTTCCGCATCTCCAACATCACGACGGCGGGTGGTGATTCTTGTGCGACTTTGTTTCTATAGCCTTAGCTTTCTTATTCTACCGTTTCCCGCCCTCTTACTTGCTAGTTTGTGACATGGTGTGCGCCGCTGCACCCTGAAACTAGTCGTGCACCGGCTTCTTGTCCTCCGCATCCTCCCCCTTCTCCAGCCCGCCCATCCTCGATCCGCGCCATACACGGGGTTCGCAAGGCAGAAACATCCATTCCCTAATCGACCGCACCACATGCCCGGCCACTCGCTGCGCCCATAGTTATGGCCACGTTGGGCTCGCCCTCTCCCCCAATCTCACCCTCAAGAACCATGCGCCGTCGCGGCTGGGCCAGGAAGGTTGAGCGGTACTGCTGCACCGCCGTCACATACTTTCCGCTGGTCTTCGTCTACGGCCTGACGTCGTGGGCCGTATGGGTCCAGGCAGGCATCGGCTTTGTGCCCTCGAAGAATGTCTGGACGGGTGCGTCTCCTTTCTATATATATGTCACAATCCAAATTTATCCTACGTCCAATAAGACCACGTCACATGAAGTTGGGAAACTCGATTACTAACACGCTGGACAGGAAAGTTCTCGTCTACGCTCGGCATCTTCCTCTATCTCATGCTCAACTGGAGCTACACTACCGCCGTATTCACCGACCCGGGATCGCCGCTCAATATCAAAAATGGCTACAGCCACCTGCCATCGCAAGAAGGAGGAGAGATGCAGTACACGTCCTTCACCGTCAAGGCATCGACCGGTGAACTACGCTTCTGCAACAAGTGCCAGTCCAAGAAGCCCGACCGCTCTCACCACTGCTCCACATGCAAGCGCTGCGTCCTGAAGATGGACCATCATTGTCCATGGCTGGCGACTTGCGTCGGTCTTCGCAACTACAAGGCTTTTGTGCTCTTCTTATCATACCTCTCTTTCTTTTGCTGGGTCTGTTTTGCAACTTCTGCGACTTGGGTCTGGAGTGAGATACTCAGTGATGGACAATACACTGAGTCCTTCATGCCCGTAAACTATGTCTTACTTGCCGTACTATCCGGCATCATTGGCATAGTCATAACAGGCTTTACTGCATGGCATCTATGGCTTACAGTTAGGGGCCAGACTACGATAGAAAGTCTGGAGAAGACGCGCTACCTCTCACCACTCCGGAACACGATGAAGCATCAGCTCAACGACCGAAACTATATGGATGCGCAAGCGAACGGACGTTTGAGTGTTGGCGACCAGTTGCGCGAGATTCACGCGAACGCTCTTCCGGGAGTGACCAGACCCGAGGAGGGCGAGCCGCCCTCTCGCTCTACCTCGCGCTCTCCCGTACCAGGCCATGCGAACGGTTACTCGCACCCGCACTACCAGTCCTACGAGTATCGAGAACGCCAGCAGTACCAAGACCGCTACGACAGCTATCTTGACGAGCGCGACAACGAGATGCTACCTAACGCCTTCGACCTAGGTTGGAAACGCAACATCGCACATGTTTTTGGCCCTTCGCCGCTGAAGTGGTTCATACCGCTTGTAACCACAACAGGAGACGGGTGGTCTTGGGAACCCAGTCCGAAGTGGCTGGCAGCACGGGAGCGGATAAAACGGGAAAGGGAAAGAGAAGAACAGATACAGAAGCAGCGTGAGCGCGCTGCTGGTTGGGGTGTTGATACTCCTACTGAAGCAGAGTTTAGGGGTCCCACTCGCGCTCCGAACGGATGGATGCCTGGCCAATATAGCCAGCCTCCCCCACGAGCCACCAGACGTCCAGAATGGCAAGCACCACTTGGCCGCGGCGAGCAGACCCAATACCTCACCA